CACTTCCCTCACCACCCCTCCCATCCCATCCTCCAAGCAATGATATATTCAAAAAGAAATCTCCCAAACTTTTCCATATATTTCTTTGGATTAAGGTTGTAAGAGATATTGTGGCTTATTCCCTTTTCTGTGACCATCTATGCATACTAAACATAAATCATCGCCACAGGGAAAACTATACTGCCATGGTTTTAATACATACATTCCCAAAATTTAGACTCATTGTTTCCCCCCAGGTTGGAAATATTGAAGATGTTTATCAGGTGGTGAATGAAGATGAATACTCCGACATTGTTAGGAAACGACAGGAGGAAGATTGGGTGGTTGATGATGGTAAGAGCTGTGTTCATAGATGTGTGGAATGGTTTTCTTTTTAGGGTTCTTGCTGAATTATAGGGTCAACACCAAACTTCAAGTTGGGTCATAAATTACAAAGCCTTTTAAAACTTTACATGCTAATGTCAGCATGGATATTCTCCATACATTTTCAAAGGTGTTGACTAGGAGAATTTGAGTAAATGTCTAGTTGGTGATCATTTGGTTTATTCTCCTGACCTTAATGTGTGATTCAGGGGTGATATTGTAAGGAGAAATTAGATGTTAGTCACTCCAAGGGGTTTAAAGGTTAAAAGACCAATTCATGTTTGCAAATTTTTGGATTCCTCTAACCAAAGACAAGGATATGAAAAAATCTTCTTTCTTTCTTTGCATTACTAACTAATGACACCAATGCAGGGTAAATGCAAGGGAATATTATCCTTATATGCTATGAACAATGTTTTTTCTGCTCTGGTATTGTCTGCATACACGAGGTTTGAATGTGCTTTCCTTTTCAGATGGGACTGGATATGTGGATGATGGACGAGAAATATTTGATGACGATCTTGATGATGAGCCATCAACTGGTCAGTTGATAAATAATTAGTGACTGATTATTAATAATTAATCTTTTTTTCCATTTGTTTCAAGTAACTTCCAGAAGCAGGGGTTTCATTTAAATGTTTTC